GCTTTACTTGCAGTGGATAACAAACAAAACAATTGCAATGAGTGGTGACGTTGAAATCAACCCAGGGCCACATCACAGTACTTTCAGTTTTTGTTCCTGGAACTTGAATAGTATTTGCGTGCACGATTTTGCACGTGTTTCTCATATCGAAGCGTATAATTCAATCTATAACTATGACTTAATAGGCATTGTCGAGACCCACATTGACAGCACAGTAAATTCAAAAAAATTAGACCTCAATGGATACACATTTATCAAAAGAAACCATCCATTAAACATAAAACGAGGAGGTGTAGGTCTTTACGTTAAAGATTCTCTCCCAGCAATAAGTCGGGAAGACCTTGCAATTCTACCTGAATGCATTGTGTGTGAAATTCAGCTAGATAAAAAGAAATACTTCTTTTCCATCCTCTACCGGAGTCCAAGTCAGAGCCCATCCGAATTTCAGGCTTTTATGAATAAATTCGAACTCATGTTGTCCAAGATGTCTGGTGAAAACCCTTACTGTGTTATTATAACGGGGGATTTCAACTGCCGCTCTACAAACTGGTGGGTAGATGACATTGAAAATGAAGAGGGCAAACTTTTCGAACCGCTCATATCTGACCTTGGCCTACATCAACTTATAAGTGAACCAACGCACTTTATTGGAAATTCAAGGTCATGCATCGATGTTATATTTACTGATCAGCCAAATTTATTCCTTGAATCGGGTGTTCACCCCTCTTTACAGGAGCATTGTCATCATCAGATTATCTTTGGTAAACTAAGCGTAACAAACTTGTCTCCACCTTCGTATAAACGCAAAATTTGGTACTATGATAGAGCAAATGTGACTGCAATAAAGAAAAGCATTGAGATGTTTCCTTGGAGTGATACCTTTTCGAAAGTCACATGCCCTAATACTAAAGTCAAAAATCTAAATGAGATTCTATTGAATATCTTTTCAAACTTTATACCAAACAAAACAATCACAGTCAGGTCTCGCCAGGCACCTTGGTTAACACAGTCAATCAAAAATTTTTTACAGAAGAAGAATAGGGCATATAAGACCTTCATAAGAAATGGTCAGCCGGAGGACAGGCTCGAGGCCATCAACAACATGATATCTTTTGGATCCAAAATGATCGAGGACGCTAAGGACAAGTACTTTACGAAAATAGGTAGAGCACTTTCAAATCCTGAAACAGGTAGAAAACTCTATTGGTCCTTGATCAATAAAATTTTGAACAAAGCCAAAATACCAATAATCCCTCCTCTGTTAGAAAATGATGTATTTGTGTTGGATTTTTCTGAAAAAGCAGAAATTTTTAATAATTATTTTATCCAACAGTGCACCACAATCGATACTGGTAGCGAACTTCCTCCATTATTTGTACCGAATATTCCACTGCTCACTGCCTTCTCTATCTCTGACGATACGATCTTGCACATCATTCGATAATTGAATCCAAACAAGGCTCATGGTTGTGATGATATCTCAGTGCGTATGATAAAGATATGCGATGATGCACTTCTTCTACCACTTAAATTGATTTTTGAATCGTGTATGAGCCAGGGTGTTTTCCCTGAAGTCTGGAAGCAAGCTAACATAGTTCCCATCCATAAGAAAGGCAGTAAGAACATGAAGCAAAACTATCGTCCTATCTCTCTTCTCCCAATCTTTGGTAAAATTCTGGAAAAGCTGATCTTTGACTCGCTTTATCATCATCTGAATACAAATAATTTATTAAACCCAAATCAGTCAGGATTTCGCCCAGGAGATTCAACTGTCAACCAGTTACTGACAATAGTCAACTCCATATTTACTGCTTTCGACTGCAATCCCACGGTAGATGTCCGATCTGTTTTTCTCGATATTTCAAAGGCCTTTGACAGGGTCTGGCATCTAGGTCTCATATACAAGCTACGCCGATGTGGTGTCTCTGGTAATTTACTAACACTAATGCAAAGCTTTCTCAATGATAGAAAGCAGCGCACTGTTTTGAATGGAAGAACTTCTAAATGGGGTAGTATTTCATCTGGAGTCCCCCAAGGCTCTATCCTCGGTCCTCTATTCTTCCTAATTTATATCAACGACTTGACAGATGGCTTAACGTGTAATGTGAAACTATTCGCCGATGACACATCGATCTTCACAGTTGTAAACGACCCACATGAAGCTGCACGTGATTTGAACCATGATTTAAACCTCATCAAGCTTTGGGCACACAATTGGCGAATGACTTTTAATCCTGACCCAACTAAGCAAGCAGTTGAGGTCATCTTTTCCAAAAAGAAAACTCCAACGAATCATCCTCCTATTTTTTTTAATAATATTCCAGTAATGAAGGTCCACGAGCACAAACACCTCGGTATTATACTTGATTCTAAACTATCATTCGCTAGTCACTTTCAATCAATTATTTCTAAATGTAAACAAGGCATAGGGATGTTGAGATTCCTTTCAAAGTATATGCCGCGATATACGCTCAACGAAATGTATAAACTCTATGTCCGTCCCCATCTGGATTATGGTGACGTAATATATCACATTCCACAAAATACTCATGATTGTAGCCAAACTGTTACATTGACCAATTCGATGGAAAAACTCGAGTCCATTCAATACTCTGCCGCATTAGCAATAACTGGGGCTTGGAAGGGCACATCGTGCCAAAAAATTTATGATGAACTCGGATGGGAATCGCTAAACCACCGACGATGGAGTAGACGCCTTGTTTCTTTCTTTAAAATAATCAATAACTTGACACCAGATTACACTAGAAGCCCTATACCCGAACTTCAGAAATCAGGCTACATTCTTCGCAGACAGGCTTCAGTAGGGCAAATACACGCGAGAACTGAGAAATTTAAAGCTAGTTTTTATCCAAATTGTTTATCTGAATGGGAAAAACTCGACCCAGAGATCAAACAATCCCACTCAGTAAGTGCTTTCAAAAAACAACTATTTGCATTTATCCGTCCAACAAAAAAGCTAGTCTACAACATCCACGACCCAAAAGGTTTATCCATTTTGACACAACTTCGTGTTGGACTTAGCAAGCTGAATTTTCACAAATTCAAACATAACTTCAGTGATACCCTGAATCCTTTGTGCCCAGTAAATGATGGTATTGAGGATACGGAACACTTTTTGCTGCTCTGCCATGCTTATGATACAGATAGACGTGATCTTCTTGACAATGTGAGGGCTATATTGCAACCCCATGGATTAACAAACCTTTCGAATGAAGCTTTACTGCAAATAATTCTTTATGGTCATGAAAAATTATCTTTAAATTCAAATACAAAAATTCTTGAGGCAACATTAAAATATATTCAGACCTCTGAAAGGTTTCATTAAGTAGTTTTATAAATCTTCTCTCCTATGTAATTTGTCTTTCATTGTTCTTGTTTTGTTTCGTCAATGTAGTTTGTCCTTGTTTTTGTTTTAACATCCAAATTGTAAATGTCTTTAATTATTAGTAATCTGTAACATGTAATTTGCAACATTTAATGCAACCTTAATTTGAATCAAATATGTTTAATGTAATGGCCACAGGGTTGCTATGTATTTCCATGCTCCCTGTGGTATCGTCTTGTAGTTGTCTGTTTTGTAAAATTTTATGAGAATAAAAAAAAAAAAAAAAAAAGATATAATAATCAGCTCACAGTTAACTGATAAAAGCAGACCCAGCCATGTTGATAACGTTTTGATTAAAGTTTAAAAATGATTTTTGTAGTATTTATTGGTAAACAATCCTTGCAAGTTATCTGTTGATTGTTGAAAAGTCGTTGAAAAGGGAGGGCGGGGGGAGGGCTTTTTTCAAGCGTACCCAGGCAACTGGCAATATAGGGCTTTATAGCTGATTTACTTCCTTAAAAAACTCGCCATAAATATACATATCATATTATTGTATAGATATCAGCCTTGGTCTTGTTAGATTAACTTGCACTTGAAATTGAATAAGTAAGTTTCAATTTTGTTTTAGCAGTCATCAATAAGCAAGGGTAGGTTTATATTTATATATATAGATGTGTGCCTGCATTAAGAATTTAATGATGATATTGAAAAGAGGGGAGTGCGGGGGGGGGAAGCCATTTTGTGTAAAACAGTTGAATGCTAAGCAGCACAAGGTATGTGGACAGTAATAATGTTTGGAAATTATAAGAAGGGAGACTCCACTTACTTTTGGGCTTAACACTTTCGTGGCAGTCGCCTGCTGACCTCTGCTCAACTAAAAGAAATTCGAAACAAAATTATTAGATACATAGCAAACTAAAAGATTTCACAGCGAGAATGTTATAATAAGTCACCAAAATAGAGATCCGTTTGCAAATATAAATTAATTTTCAATACGGAAAGGAAGATTGCTTTAGTAAAATTTGCTTGAAAAACTGTATTTTGCAGGGTAATGGATGCATGGATATACAGATGTGACATGAGTCTTAGGAAAGGAGAGTCCCTTATTATCATAAAGGTGATGTTTTGAAATTTATGCCATTTATGCAAAGAAGCAATTTTAGTTAAACCTACCGCTACCCCAACCCCCCAAAAGGCTTGCCTCGCAACGGCCCTTGTCCCTTCCTAACCTAAGCAAAATCCTAAAATGCTTTTAAAATGGATAACAGTGGCATAAATATATCTCTATTCACTAAAACGACCATTGTTAAACTTTGTAAAGTAAAGCCTTGTTGAACTTACGCAGCACAGATATGATTTGTTGTAGCCAGGTTTGTTAAGAGCAAGTCACATTTAAAAAAAGACATTCTCAAGAGATTCTCTAAAAAACCTGCTTCTGTCGTGCAGGTACTAGTGAATGCTGCCTAGCAGTCTCTTTAATAAGAAAACTTACTGTATATTATAAATATTTTCAGCTTTGATATATTTAAAAAAAAATTTTTAGCTTAAAGATAAGTGTCAGCTTTTTTCAGTCTTTATCGAGGTAGTGATATGGTTTTAGTGACAAGGCACTGACAGAGCACAGAAATCAGGCGAGCCAAGTCTAAAATTGGATGTTCATAAAATTGGATGATTCTGAGCATGAATGTATCTATATACTATATTATTATAAATGAAAGAGGGCATTTACTTGGCATCTGGAGTATTTCGTCTGCTATGATCTGCGTATTCTCCTCGTCAGCAACTTCATCGAAGAAATCCACTAGAAGAAATCCAAAAAGTAAATTGTTAGATTCATGGAAAAAACACGGTGTAGAAATTTTTTAATAACTAGAAATACAACAAGACACCAGAAGGGGGTTTGTTCTTTTTAATTCTCGATTACTCTCGGCATGAAAATTCAAATATTAAAATAAAATTCTGATGATTGAAAAAATGTGCTGAGAGTTTCTTACTTTGGAACGGGGGGGATCTCATCTTCTACGATCTGGGTATCGTCTTCTTTGTCTTCCATTGCATCAAACTGCACCCCAAATTTCTGCTCCACTAAAATGGATTCCAAAAAGTAGAATGTAAGTTACGCAGAAAAAACTGATTACAGTAGCTGAAATCATTTGAAATAAAACAAGGCACTAACTAGGAAGCGGTTTGTTTAAACAGTGGCTGAGCTCTTACTAATTTGGGGGCAGGGCTTGGAAAGTTGGTCCTTATCAATCATTTGAGGGCTGGTTCGAATAAATTAATTTTACGAAAATAAAGGAATTTGTTTTGATAATTGATTAACGGATATCAGGTCATCAGTGTTGTAGGAAAACATTATTTTTTTACCAAAAGCACCAAATAGATTTCAGAACAAAAAGCACAAACAAGTGAACTGCAATGTACTCACCATCTTCATTACATTCGTGGTCCATTTTCTTGCTTATGACTTCTCATGAAAACTGATTTTTTGCATTCGAGGATCCCTTTTTATGGAAAACTTGGCATCAGATTGCCTGGTATTGTTTTCGTTTTCAATACTACTCCTACCAGTTGATGCCTGTCAACAATGACATACCAAAGCATTGTATACACAGGGTTAATTAGTTTTGGAAAGTGCTGTGCAACCTGGGTCGAAGATACAAAACATGGTTGCTTTTTGGTTGTTTTGGATTGATTCTAAGGAGGAAGTAAGTGAACAAATGTATTTTTTGCTATTACGTATCTCTCTGTGACACCTACGTTTCCAAAACCGTCTCCTCCACCCTAGAAACAAACAACCAAACACTTGCAATTAGGGTTTCTCGTCGATTCATGGAAACCTCCCTCCCTCACGAGCATCATCATGCAAACAGTTTAGGCTATCCTCAGACTATTTTATCCCCCAAGGAATAAAAAACATCCCACCCTCTCCCAGGGTCCTAAAAAGACAGCATATCCGAATTCTACACTTAATTTCTAGCAAATTGACTGCATTTTGCAAGCGATCCTGTTTTTGTGTAAATCTCAAGGCCACTTGTGTAAACCGAGGACAAGCCTGTAGGTGGCCGTCAAGGACAAGCGCAAACCCTCCACCCCCTTCTTAAACAATAAATAACTCAACTTTTAGACCTTATTTCGAAAAAGCCCAACTGTGCCAGACTTTCTTATTACTTAAAGTAGCGTTTCATGTGAAAAACCCAAAATTTTTATTTCGAACCTTTTACACACAGCACCAAATGCGCGAGTGACACTTTGAAATTTTTCTCAAAACGTAGCCTCAAAACTCAAACTGTAACCTGTTGCATGGGACTTTGTCAACAGAAAAGCCCCAAAATCTTTCAAAAAGACACCATTTCCGAGTTCTACACTAAATTTCGAGCAAATTGACTGCATTTTTCAAGCGATCCCGTTTTTGTGTAAATCTTAAGGCCACTCGGAACACCTGGCTTTATGTTTGTCTCTACAGGGACAGCCGATTTTCCCTCCTACCCAATATCAAACAATAAATAACTCAAAACTTAGACCTTAATTTCATATTCCCAGACTGTGCTCTGATCTCTTTTCATTTGAGCTAGCATTTCGTGTGAGAACCCGAAATTTTTTCACCCCAGCCCATTGCACATAGCACCTAGCGGGCGATGGAGACTTTGAAATTTTTCTCAAAATATGGACCCAACACGCATACTTCAACCTGTTGCACGAGCTTTTGTAACATTAAAACCCCGCACAAGTCTCAATCTAGACCATTTTCAAATTCTACGTTAAATTTCGGGCAAATTGGCAGCATTTTGCAAGCTATTCCCATTTTGTGTCTTTTTTAAGAACATATTAGTTTGTGGAAAGGTTTCAAAAATTGCAGCTTTTGAAGGGTTAGCAACAGACTTAGAAAAGTCCACTCTTGCATTCAGATAGCTTCAAACGGAATGGCTACCCCGCACAGATATTTGCAGAGTGTGTTAAATTTTGCCACAATAATCATCAATACGCATGCAGTCAATGTTCGTGTGTTTGACCCTGTGGTAGCTTTGCTGCTGGAACTAATCTTGTTATTGCGTGACAAGGCTCCTTGATATCAATACTTTCGTTATATTTGTCGCACATTTCATCCAGCGGCATGACTTCTGCCATCTCTCTAATTCTCAATTTGCAGTTTTCTTTCATTTTCTATCTGCTTTAGTCTTTTAATTTTTCGTGCCTCCTTCCTACTATTCAAATCATTTTATCTTAAGCATATCTATTCAGGAATTTCATAATTTCCAGTCTTGCCGTTTCCATACAACCAGTTTTTGCACAGTATGCATTGCACCATTAATTTTCTGATATCTGGCAACTGACAATGGCAACGTACTACTCAAACCACTCAAACAAGCATTCCTCTGGTCTTTTGTTATCAGTAAATTTTGTGACATTGTCCATAAAATTGCCATGTCTTTCTTTGAAGGCTCTCTTTCAATGCTTTTCTCATTTGTCTCTGGTCGTATTCACATAAACATGGAGCATAGCCAGTAACCAAAAAACCTGCAAAGCAATAGTGAAAAGTCCAAAGTTGTTACCCCCACACTGCTGCTGTACATGAGGTACACACATGTAAAAGGATCTAATTGGTTTTGGAGTTGTGACGCAGACACATCAACATTGACTAAATAACTTATTACTTCTTCCAGCTTCTGCACCTGTGAGCATTCTGGAATCAATGGCTACAAAGGAAAGAGCATCAAATAAGTTCTTCAAACTTCTCAAGAAATTCTATTATTTAAGACTAAAAGTGTTCAGGGGCTTGAAAATTGGCCCCCAAGTCAAATCAGCAAGGTTCCTTACCACGAAAGACCAGATGTAGTGTTTTTTAAAGTTAGTACCATTTGTCATCTCGAATTGACAGGTTTTGAAAGGGTTACTTCATTTTATTTGTAACCTACTTCTGTTGTAAAATTTGCTCTGGTTTTTTGCTGGTTGCTTTGTAGCCTTTTGCTGGACGTTTATTGAATGGAGACTGTTGTAGAGATGAGCTTAACAAGAAACCGATTTCACGTTTAATATCTTTATCAAATGACAACCACGAAAATTGTATGAGGATAAAATCCTGCAGTCCACCGACATCAGGGTTAATACTTTAACAGCTTTTCAGCTGCTCAGAAAATCTTGTTGTTGAGCCAGTAGCCTTTTCAGATCAAGTTTAAATCTCGTATTTTCAAATTTAAATCTTGGATCCAGTAATCATCTCAATTTTTCTTTGGGCTTTTGATGATTTCTCATCCTCTTGGTTTGCTTTTTCAGGACAATCAGTTTTGATGAAGCTGGTTTCGCCGGTTGTTGATGTTTCTATATTTCTTGAAGTGCCATTCTTCTCATGCTTTCTTTTCTTTGACAGCTCAACATTTTTTGTTCTTTTTGTTATATCAATCAATGCTCTGTCAAACTTGTTCAACTTATTTTCATAATTGAATACATTCTTGATCTTTTCTATTGCACAATTTTTTGGTGATTATAGTGCAGACTGATGATCGATTTTAACAAAAAAATATGGTTCACTGGCTTCATGATTGGTTTGAAATCTAGCATCATGATTGTGGGGTTCATGATGATGCTTGTCTATCTCCGTGTCAAGCATTCCTTTCAACTCATTGATCAACGTGCTCCTTCGCAATATTTCAACTTCCTTTATGGAGTTATTCCGATGAAGACAATAAAAAAGACACATTCTTGTTTTAAAACCCGAAATTGGATGTGCACCATCTTCATCATTGTTGCCAGGGTTTTCGGAGTTATTCAGCCAGTCACAAAACATCTGCATCTCCCTGCTCTTTGGCTTCTCAATATGTTCTGCTGTTGGCTCTACCACCAGCCCTTTGTGTAGGGTGAATAGGTCAGGAATGCGCTTGTTTCCATGTGCTACAATCATCTTTGGCATTTTGTCTGTGCTTTATTGACAGAATAAGGTCCAAACAATCATGAGGACTCTTAACTCTTATTAAAGGTCTAATGAAACGAAATTTTCGAATTCCATTTATTCACTGGAAATAATACTTTTACACGCCCTTAATGCGAAACTGAAATCCGTTTTTAAAAATTTTAATCCAATTTGCCACAATAGCCGGTTAAATGTGTGAAATTTTGCAATCCCGTTGCGAAATCTAATCTCCTCTTGTGACGTATGAATGATGAGTAAGTATATATCCCGTGACGCGTGTCAGCCAAAACACAGTTAAATAAACCACCATTGAGGGTAATAAGACTTCCAAACGCACTTACGGTCGATCGTGTGTTGCTGGCTCAAAGAACGGAATGAGCTGTAAAAATACACAGATTACGGAAAATTTTTGTTTCATTACTTTCCTGATAAAGATATGCAATTTAGCAACCATCAAAAGTGGGTGCGCTTTGTTCGAAAACATCGGCCTGGCTTCACTGCATCAAAATACTCGGCGCTGTGCTCCATTCATTTTGAGGATTCATGCTTCACCATAAGGAGGGATGTTTGTAAAGAGCTTGGCATTCGAATGAGACTTAAAGATGATGCTTTCCCGACTATCGATGAGGCGAATGAAGCTGAAAGTACAACTGACCCTTCTTAGTGTGAACGAAAGCGGGTAAGTTTTGACACTTAGATCGAAAACTTTACTTCCGCATACTGCCTAAAGAGACATAAGCCCCCTTGGGCTTCTCAAAATTGCAAATCACAGTGATTTTAATTTTAAAAAAAACTCTGCCTTGCCAGCTCTTCCCATCCCCATTTTACAAAGCTTACGCAGATTGTTACCCGAATACAAATTTCAAATAAATTTTCAGATTTTAAAGAGCTTGGCTGAAAAAGAAGAACCACAAACAGTTGCCCCATCATCCACAGTACAGGAGCATAAAACCAAAGTGGACACAGTGGATATGCAAAGAAAGAAGATCATTGCTTTGCAAAAGAGTGTCTGGTACCTTCGTAACCAGAATGAGAAACTATGCCAGCAAATTTCACAAATGAGAATTTTAAACGCATTTTTAAATTTTAAATTGCATTTCAAAAGTAAAAATTTGACAATGTTTTCATATACTTTTAAAACACTTGTGATTGGAACTGCAAAGTAATAAATCCTTTAAAATATGTTACTGGTTGTAAGGTATTGTAGTTACACTACAACACTTTTATATTATCAGGACAAAGAAAGCCAACCAAGTTGCAGTAAAGATCAAAACCCTGAAACCACGTCCGTTTTTGTTGATTTGAATTCATCATTTGAAAGTGTGGAAATGGATGTGGATACTCCACAATGCAAAAATTTAAAATTATGTCTATTTAAATGATAAACATATATATGTAGTAATTTTTTCGTATAATTTGCTTATGTACAATTTTGTATTATCTGGAAATTAAACTCTTATTGGCCCTAATGCTGACTGGTTTTTCGAACAGCCTGCTTTTTGTTTGTATCTTCTCCCATCTCTGTCTTTAAGTAGTGGGCCAACGTTTTGCAGCACAACCTCCTATGCCATGGACAGGTAGTCTTCATGTTGTTTGATGCACCTTGTTACTTGTATTTCCCCACCCAATTTATCAATTGCTGCAGGAATCTCATAACAACATCGGTATTCTCGAGCACCATTCAGCAAGGCGCTGTCACACTTGTTACACTGACACCTACGATTGGAATGATTCACTTAGGCCTACTTTGCCAAACCAAACGTTCAGAGCAAAACAATTAAGAAAAATAAATCAATAAATGCCACTCGAAAATAAATTAAAGTGGAATGCTATTATGGAGTGAATATTACTGAAAAATATATGCTGAAGAACGCATGTATAAAACTGAAAATGAGCTACCGTTCCACATGTCCCATGAAACGAAAATTACAAGTAAAAAACTGCTCGTAGCAACCATTTATTTTTTAATAGGAACATATCATTCATTAACTGGGATTCTTCTTTCGTATCTTGCTCCTAAAATTTCCATAGGCATTTGGTTAGGGTCCTCTTCATCTTGCTCGTAAACCTCGGCATCCTCGAGGTTAGCAACTGGTTAGCTCTGATATGGCCTAACCGCTCCTCCCAAATTAACGATTCCGTAATGATCTTCAAAACTACTGCCTTCCAATGAAATTACTTCGACTACGCTTCCAACAGATTCATTTTCACTGTCTGACATGATCAACTGTATAAAGATATAAACTTATTTCGCCCAGCAAAAAAAACCAATACTGGCGAGAGACTCTCTCTCTCGGCTGTTTGCAAACGACTCATCATTCATACGTCACACAATTCTCACATTTTTCGCGAAAACAACCCAACTTCAAACTCGTTTTTTAATATCTTCTGTTTAACCCACATTGCTTATTTTGATACCAAAATTACAAGGAAAGATAGCAATTTTAGAAAATGAAAGAAAAGCGATACTGAAAATTTCGTTTCATAAGGTCTTTAACAATTTTAGCGCATAAACTATGCCTTTGTTACTCGTAGCAGAAACCCAACCACCAGATCTTCCCCCCAGCTTACTAACATCTTTTATGAATTTCTGGCAGTCCTTTGATATCACATCGAAAATTTGCGTCAGCATTTCCAGCTTAGTCCTTTTTGGTCCAGCACCAAGAATTCTTGCAAAAACGTCTATCTGCTTTGCGGTTTTCTGATTTAGCATCTCAAGAAGTCTTTCTTCTGTTACCTCTCGACAATCTTCTTCCAACTCATTATCGAGTTGATTTTCTTTTCTGTATTTAGTATTGAGCAATAAAGGTCTTTTCAGTGAACATTTCCCCATATAAGGAGCTCAACAAAGCATGTTTGATTTGACTTTAAAGTGTTCAATTTCATGGTTTGGAAAACCTTTTAAAACCATGGTTCCCCAGAGCGTGTAGTGATATCTTTTACATGGAAATCGTTAATGGTAGCATCCCTTTATGTTTGAGGTTCCCCTATATTTAATGTCCCTATATTTACATCATCAGAAGTAACATCCCTATATTTAATGTTCCTGTATGTAACATTGTTATAAGTAACGTCCCTATATGTAACATCTTAACAAGTAACGTCCCTATATGTAACTTCCCTATGTAACGTCCCTATATGTAATGTCCCTATTTCTAACATCGTTATATGTAATATTCTTATAAGACTCGTAAAAAATGTCCTCAAACCTATTATCACAAAATATGCAGTCTTTTATGAGACACTCAATAGTAAAGGTGCTGGCTGGCTTGCAAATTCTAAATACTGGCTGATAATGTTAAAATTTATAGTTTTTAGAATGAGTGGTGAGCCAACTCTTTGAATAAGATCAAATCTTGAACTGATCAAAAAACCTTACTATATGCAAGGGGGGTAGCGAGGAAGGGAAACTTTTGGAGGTGGATAAAATGGATGGGAATAAACTTAAATAGATTAAATCAATCGAACTTGCCTCTGCTTGATTTAACACAAATCTTGAATCTTTCCGCTGGTGGCACCTCCAACCACCATAACCTTCATAACATGCTCTCACGCAGTACTGACTCAGAAGATATATTAAACATTTCTGCTTTTACATGTTTATGGAAGGGATTATTTGAGAATTCATACCGGTGACATTGGGACATCAAAGATCAAAGTTCCAAAGAGATGTGCATAAGGCCAGGGAAACCTGGAGACATGGGGGTGCATGGCTCTTCCATTTTTGAGGCAAAATTTTTCCAGGCAATAGATCACTTGGCGACTAAGGTCATTAAAAATTATAAACAACTTTTAGGCGCATGTCTGCAGATAGAGAACTTACCGTAATAAATAAACACACTATCAACACGCCTCAGAAAAACATGGCCTTCTTTGAAATACCATAGAAAACAGGCGTGTGCACATGCTGAACGTTAAATGTTGTTGTGTGCACATGCTGAACATAACATTATATCTGGTTGTGTGAGAATAGGTCGCGATGTCTTAGTAGTATAACAATCTCAAAGTAGAAGAGCAAAATATTTATGACTTGAAGCTGACTTTCAAGACCGGGGACAAAATAATCTGACAATTTTTCTCTGAATAAAGCTGATATTGGGAAATTACCGAATATAACCTGGAGGGATGTCACTGAGTATCTAACAAAATCTCTTAGCTCATTTATGAAGGAATCCAGGAAGGCCTGCAAATCTTTAGAGGCGTACAACTATTTTGTTTGCAGTCATGTTCAAGATTGCTTTCACTGCCCAACTGATGATAAATGCCAACTCTGCTATATCAAATCCGAGGTAATTTCATCTTCTATCAAATCTCAATGTTGTTTTTTACAGCTTCTAAACCTAATGCACGGCATATAAGCAGCAACAAAGACGGATTGATTGCCATAAACAATATCAATCTATATGTCACCTTTTTGTGTATATGATAAAGAAAGTGCCCCCAAATAGAAAAATTAAATTTAATTCTGGTATAATGCCATATTGCCTTTCAAAATTTCCCATGAAGGTTGAAGTGCTGTACAAGGTGTCAATATTGTAATTTATATGATCAGCTCTATCCCTCCTGCTTTTAAACAGGTAGTACCAAGCCAATGTCAAGTCAAAAGCCATCATTATACCGAGTCTGGGTTTGTTGTCACAGAACCCAAGGATGGGTAGTGACTGGGTATTGCACATGTATGACAGGACTAAGCTTATCTTATAGCCACGTTGCTGCTCTTATTTTCAAACTAGAAGCAGCTGTTTATTTTCAACTGAATACAACAACAGCATGCACTAGTCAGCTTTGCTCTTGAAAAGCATCTAGAGCAACCAGCAGTCAGTGCAACCAGCCACAATAATGTCATTAGACTTCAAGACCCAAAAAGCACAGCTTTTCTAACATTTCAGGTTCTCCTGAAGGGAAGACAAGCCTTTTGTGTACTGTTGAAAAAGATGCCAACTTTATTTCTCATTTGAAGCAGGTTTTATTAATGAAGTTTTGTGGCTGCATCCTGACATAGGTCGTATGTCACAAAATGAACTGTAATGTATCACATGATAGGAGATTACATTGTAATTGCAAAAGACCAGAATTTGGTAACATTATTTCTTGTGGTAATCCATCATGTAAAATTGTAAGATTTCATTACTCGTGTGTTAATACATAGTCATTCAAAATACTCTGGTCTGGAAAGAGCGCAAAGATCAAAGGGAATCGATATGCATGTTGTGGTGGTTAGTTTTTTATATCACGTGACGCATCACCGTGCACACAAAATTTCAAAATGGCTACAGTAATGCAGGAGGATATGATTTCAGGCGATGATTTTGATATAATTATGGAGCTTTTTGAGTCAAATTTTCTAGAAGATGAACTTGAGATTCAGGAATCTTTTGATAATGCTTTATAAAGATTTGTTGAGCACAAAAAAAAGAAAGCGATGATGTCGTCGCCATGTAAATTTGAAGGTCTAGGCTGTGTAGTTACAACTGAGTCATTAGTTAGAATGAATATATCAAGATTCTTAACCTGAAGTTCTTAGCAGTTAATATCCAACAGTATGATATAGACTTCCAGCAATGATTAAAATATCCTTGACACTCAAATTGTGCAATTTTAGCATTGTTCGCGATCAGTGCTTAAATAATTTCTCTAGTTATAGTTCTACAAGGCCTAGTTCTCCAAATAATTTTCCAAGAGTGTTTTTATTCAGACTTTCTCATCAGATTTCCTACGTGGCCATTCCAAAATAAATTATCAGTAACATATGAAGTTTCAATTTTTGGTTGTTGAAAAGCACCTAATATGATTTCAGTTTCATTGTATTTGTTGTTTCGCATCACTTAAGTTCCTTTTCATTATTCTAAATCCTCTCTCTATTTCTATTTCAAACCCTCTCACCATAAATAAGAGAGCATGTGAGGCAATTTCATCCACTTTCTCTAATGTGGCATAATTGATTTCTGGGTCACGAAGATTAACATATCCAATTAGCTCCCCTGAGTGTTTGTGCCAGACCAAATTCCCTTGCACTTTCATTTCATCAAACATGATAAACGCAAACTTCTGGTGATTGACATAGCTTTTTGTTGCATTGCATAGTTCTTCAATGATCTTAGGGTTAAACCCAGTCTGGGGAGTAATGGTGTTAGTGTAATCACGGAGAATCCTTTGGCTTGGTAGCACAATTGTAGAGTCTTTGAAAGTATCTCTCAACTCATCATATGCCGATGCCGAATTTGAGGCAATTGAAAGGCACCAGCGAATAATTGTAGGATGGTACCGTCTTCCCTGTGCTGAACAAGACATGATTCTCTGTTGTTGTTTCCAGAACAATTTTATAAATGGTGTCATCTTCCCACTGCTTTCAGAAATTTTACTTAATAAATCGTGGCTTAGATTTTGTGTAACTGGCAAGCTCTTTTGTTCAATCTCGACTTTCATTTCTGTTATTTGTGACTGGAGTTGCCTACATCTTAATCTTTGTGCCTGAAGTGTTAACTTGATGCGCTGAGCAGAATTTAAACTTACTGGGGCTTTCAATTTAGGGGGCACTGCAAGTCTCCTTTGCTTTCTCTTTGTGGCATGCTCTTCACATCTAGCTCTTTCCAAGCACGCTCCACATACTTTATCACCTTCTGGAATGAGAATCTCACATTTTACTGCCCGTGTGTATTCTTTTGATGGAAAAGGACTGGAATCTTCCTTTTGAGCAGATGGATCAGCTTGCATTGGCAATATATGTCTAATGGAAAATCCAGAAAATGAGCTCTCAGCGTATCAGATTATCACTTGTAGAAATACTCAAATCTTTCAGAACAAGTTTTTGTGTCCTGTTGGTGAGTTCTTTGAAGTCCTTGTAACAAAATTTTCTTGCTTCACTTATTAATGGCTGATCACGAACAATATACTTTGATACTCTTTGATGTTCTATCTTCTTGGTGTTTGGGCCAAGGTCAGAGTTTCTAATTGGCAAGTTCTGTGGTGGCAGTGCTCCCTTGACCAATTCTTCCTTTGTTAGTTTAGGTCCACAACCTTAGAAAGATAGAATGAACAAATTAGGCAAATTCCTTGTAAAACAAGACTTAGACATCATGCAAAAAATATACAGTGTAACAAGGTGTAACAATATGCAGCCATTTGATTTTAGTAAGTAGAAGGCCTCTTGAAATACAGCATTGCTGATAGGTTGCCCTCTTTAAAGATGTGGAATGTGTTAAATAAAAACTTTGTGCTGCTTGGCTAAAGTATAAAAGCGATTGACGCTGACAACAATTTATACTTACAAATCTTTATTTCTTCGGGAAGGAAATTTCTTTCGCACACATGAAGTGAGTCCGCAGCCAATTGTCGCTTAAAACTTTCATCCTGGACACGGTATTTTGTTAACACGTTCAAGAAATCCCTCCTCCATTTGTTGCTCTACTCATCTTTTCTCATTGGAAGTTTAAACAGTCCTACGCCTTTCTTTCTTTGGCATTCAATTTAAATAATTGCTAACAAAGCCAAATATTATCATATTTGCTTGCCATTTCTATTGTGTCTATCTTTCAATTTTTTTATCATCTACTTCTATAATTTAAGGTTCTTTTAACACTAGATTGTTCAGCGCTTTAGAACATATGTACATGGATTTTACCGTTCCATGAGTATACTTCTCAAAGTTTCTGTATAAAGTTTTGGCAGTAAAATTTTCGGATGTTAAAAAATCCGGACAATAAACATTTTGGACGGTTAAATTTTCGAACCGGGTATTTTCGAAGTGTCAACTGTTCCAGGCTGCATTGTGTTCCTAGTTGGAACCAATGACATTATGCAACATTTGAGGATGGAAAGAGTAGAGAAAGACTTTTTTAATCTGATTCTAAGGTAAGATAAGAAGCCAATTTTCAATGCAAATTCCAGTGGGAGTGCAATAGAGCACTCTGTCATATCCTTTTTGTTATTAAAGGTTTTCCTTACATGTAAATAGAACAAGCTGTAAAAAACTAAGCTGCAAATAGCAAGTAAAATAGCTCTTGATGATCTTAAAAGTTCTTCCTTCAACCTATGTGTTGAGAATGACTTTGATAGCATTGTCTATTTGCAGGTATTTTTTGTTTCAATTTTACCTCATTTAGACAAAATTGATGTCAGAATGGATATATATAGCAGTGCTTTGAAGAAGTTTTGTAGAGCATATGTTGCACATTATATTGACGTGGCCAACTTCTTTAACAAATGGGACAGAAAATTATGGAGCAAGGCAGACAGTATACATATAAGTTCCAATCAAGGAGTACCATTGATAATTCAAGAAGTCATAAGATCTTTGATGAGGTCTGCCACTGCACCGGAAAAGCCTGTTGTAGTGAATCGATCAGTCTGTCCGGAATGGCTTTGGCGCCAGTTGAAGCACCATAACTGACTTCGTACGTAAGCTATGCGCATTCAGATTTCGCATGCGAAGAATCTATCAAATCAATCCGACCTCGTCATAGAAACTTCAAGCGAAAGCCACAGTTTGCAAAATTGTTTTATTGTCAAAGTTGTAGAAATATATGGGTCTCTTAAGTATGCTTATGGTACGTTGATGTTTTTTTGTTATCTTTTTGTTAGATTATCTACTTGACCAAATTATCTGGCCCTGATTTTAAAAATGACGAAGGAGGGCAGTTACAATATGTTCTTGATACAATGCACAAGACAAAAATAAATACAAAAACTTTTTTTTGGAATGCAAAAACTTACCTTGTGATTTACATCTACAGTCTTTTACAAGAATTTTTTCCAATTGCTCCAAAAGCTAATGCAAGCTTTTGGATACTAAATTAAGAAGAAGAAGAGTAGCCTGATGCTAGACAGAAAGAAGGCTGACAAGGAAACCACCGAGGTCAGTGTCCATCTTGTATTCAACTTTGTAATGTTGTTCTTTGGAAAGCAACAACTTTACCTTGTGATTTACATCTACAGATCTTAATGAGAATTCTTTTCAATTGCTCCACAACCTTATGTCAGCTTTTGAATACTAGATTCAGAAGAGGAAGAGTAGCCTGATGCTACACAGAAAGAAGGCTGACAAGGAAACCACCGAGGTATTCAACCTTGTTATGTTGTTCTTTGCAATGCAAAAAACTTAACATATATTAGCTGGATATAGCCAAGAACATACTATTCATTACTGTTGTGCCAATATCAACGTACATCTTTGTTATTGAAATGATAATCTAGAATTCTTCTGAGAAATGATTTGCAAGAATTGGCTTCAAATATTTTTAATTGGCATACCTAGCAATTTTTAAGTAACGTGTTTTTGATTACCTACATTCTAGTTTGTTCACCTGGATTATTTGGGGATTACGAACGAAGCAAAATTTGGCGGTAGTGAGCTCAATGAAAATGGTAATGCAGAACAGTATACTGTTGGAAAGGTTTCTATAGATTGCTTTTTCCTTAATTTCAAACATTCATTGTTTATCTGGATTTGCTAAGGCAGGTGAAGACTACTCCTGCTAAGTAGCATTTTTGTATGATGATTTTGAAAAGCATTTAATGAAGAAAAATTGGAGTACCAACTGTAAAAACAACAACAAAATTCTGATTTAATGTAATACGGTGGTATTGTATTATTATTAGTAATGCACACATCCAGTAAATGTTGAAGACGCAAGTTGCGTCAGTGATGAAAAGACACAGAAACAAAGCTGGTTGAAAAACATGCCAAGAATAGCCAGTGACATTTGCCTGGAGAAAATTTTGGAAGTAGCAAAAAGCACCCAAATAGAAAGAGATTTTTCCAGAAGTATTCCAAGTGAATATGTGTTACAAACAGCATTCAACAAGTTGAAAAAAACGAGGATAATGGTAAAAAGTTATGTGCAAAAATTGGTAATAAATATTTCAACCTTGATGCAATAATAAAATGTTTAAGTATTATGAAGAGATTCGGCATAACCCGCGAAATTAAAGAGGAAACAGAATGGACTAACAAGCTTTGTAGGGGCATAGAAAAACCAACGTGAACAAGTGACATTGAAAGGTCTTTTTTAACGGCCTTTGTTGATAAAATTAAAGAAAATTATGACCTGTCTTTTTGTCCTGTTACCAAATTAAGGATTTCAGAGATAAAGTCTTTTGTTGGTAGTAGATGGATTCATGGGGCAGTATTAGAAAGGATAACAGACTTATAAATCTCCAGTCTGGTGAAACGTGTGCATTTAACTTTAATTTGTGTGAAAACATTGTGAAAGTGCCTTTAAAATTCCAAGCAGATACACAACGCAAAGTTTAATGGTTTGGAAGAATGTATGGGGGAAGAAATATCTACTCATAATTTGAATTATGTAAGTAAAGAAAGCGATAGCACAATCGTTTAAGCAAATGACAAGCAAGAGCTCTTTGATGTTAGTCATGTCAAGGAACCTATAGATTATGCCTATTTTGCAGTTTCGTGCAAGAAAAGGGACAAAAAATGCAATGAAAAAGTATATCATTTTTATTGTGCCTTTTTTCTGCTCTCCAGATCTGTAGCTTAGGAATCCAAGATCAAACGTCACATAGAATCTACCCACTTCAACATTAAGAGGACTATTATATAAGGAGGTTTACAGATACTAACCTGCAAGTTAAGTCACAAAATCAAAACTTTGACACTAACTCTTTTAACAAAATACTAACAAAACGCTCTAGTCCTTCTGGCAATTGGCTTACTGTTGCTTGTCAGCATGGTATTATTACATAGAGCTGAGGGCCCACGAGACTACATAGATACACTAAGGAGCCTCGAACATTGGCCAAATGTCTCTATAAATGACATGGCACATCTAGTTGCTGCACACGGAAACATTATGAAGAGCGATTTTTGAGTCCACATAAAGGTCAAGTTGCAGAAGCCACGCAAAAATATGTACAAAGCGAAAATGAAGGAACATTTTCCATTTCTTTCTCGTGGCTTGAAACTAAGGCTGCAGCCACACTAGGTTTTTAAGCATGCTTTCTTTAAAGGTGTCATGCTAATCTCCTTGCTAAATATTTCTGGAATTTGGCCGGCTTTTAGGATTCTCAAAGAAAATCCTTCTAATCCTTTAGGATGCTCTGTAGCTTCCCAAAACCAATCTATATACTTGTTAAGCTAAATAAATAAATCCCTGCTGTTCTGTTTCCTACTTCTGATGTTTCCTTGGGGTTGGCATGAAATGAAATACACGCGACAAAAAATTTGTTTTCATTAACATACTTTCACTGAATAAATCGAAGAAGCAAAATCAAAAGTACTGTACAAGCATGTCGTACCCTTACAGTTTTCCAGGCAGTTCTCGTGAAAACAACTATCCACCACAGTCGTTTCAGTACCAAATGTATTTGCAGCAAATGGAATTTGAACGTTATCAGAATGCACGTATGCCACTGAATCCAGGGGATGCGCTCGATTCAAGCAAAGGGGAAAGGGAGAAAGAAGGTAAAAATTGTCGCTGGTCCGAGAAGCAAACAAGAAGCCTTATCAAAGAGTGGAAGGATAATGTCACAGAGCTGGAAAGCAGTCGCAATAGATAGTCATGGTCAAAAATTATAAATAATGTAAATAAAAATGGACCAAAAAAACTGTCGAGCAAGCCAAGAAAAAACTTTCAAATTTAAAAGACGGGTACAAAAAAGCAAACGAGAACAATAGAGAGAGCGGCGCTGCTCCAGATTTTCCTCCATTCTTTGAGGATTTTGAGTATTATCATGCAGGCCAATTGTCGAATTGGATTTGGTAAAAGAAGTTGGGGTAGCTGTCGAGGAGGTTCTCTATGTATGGGAGTGGATTATTCAAAATATCACCCCTTTCAGCTGTATGATAAATTGAACTCGCACGTGAAACCCTTCCATCGTGAATACTGCCTGGAAAACCAGTTGAAACATCTATAAATTTAAATTTTCCATCCACTACAGCTTGCGTATTTATTGTGAACTTTTGCTTTCTGCAGAAGTAGTCAATAGGCGAATTTTCAGGTGCAATGATTTCTACATGTGTGGCGTCAATGGCTCCTATAGCTTGGGGGGTTTTACAAATCTCTGAAAATTTTTCCAAAGCTATAGAAGTTTTTCTCTCATTTCTTGGAAACTTTATAAAATTGCTTGATCATTTTGTATCCACATGGCAGTATCCACTGCGCTAGATTTCCCAACACCAAAAACAGCAGCAGTTGATTTAAAACTGTTTCCTGTCGAAAGTCTCCATAGCGCAATAGCTACACGTTTTTGGATCGGAATCGCCTTTCTAAACTTAGTGTCTATTTTTTCCATATCGCCAGCAACAATATTCAAAATAAAATTGAATGAACGCTTAGAAAATCTGAATTCTTGTTTCCAATAGTCATCGAGGGTATCAAATTCTACATTATCCCATAGTCTATCGAACCATTGCTGAGGCCTTCAATAGACCAAACCCGCTTTGCTGTTCGAAGTAAATTTGCTTCTTTTAAAACCCAAAAAGCATGGCAGCTGTTCGTTGATAAAAGGAAACGGTTTCTTTGTGCTCTGGCCAAAAGAAAAGCTCGCTTTGCCATGATCTGTTTCTTTCTAATAGCAAACTTTCAACAAACACTGCGTGTTATCAATTTGCATTTTATCAAGCATCCTTGTAAAAATCATATGTGACCGGTTGACATGATTTGAAAGCAAATACGGATTAGCAAAAAGGATGCTTTTTCAAGTATAGTGTGACCGCAGCCTAATACCCAAGAAGAGCAGAACAACCACTAAGGCCTGGTTCAAACGTCGCGCTTCTCATGTGCCGAACCTAACTCGAGAATTAAGTACATGAGGGGCGCGACGTTTGAATCAATTTGGTACGGCAGATTTAATTAGGAGCGGCAGACTAGTTTGGATCGGCAGAGCTTGCCGAGCTGCACGGCTCCAGCACGGCACGGTTTCAAGCGTCGAACTTGTCATGTACCGAACCTAATGCATAATTATATTTAATTCATTTTCTTTCACAGAAATATTTTCTTTCTTTGAGGGCGCATGCGTTTCAAATAAATATTTGAGATTGTGCGCCTTAACCAAGATACTTCATGTAACAATCCTAAAACCCATTTGGCGCGACTTGATTAAGTTCGACGTTTGAAACGGGAGTCGCGCTAAAGGTGCTCAAGTGTCGCTCCAAACAGAGTTAGGTTCGGCACATGAGAAGTGCGACGTTTGAACCAGGCCTAAGTTACCAGCATCAGTATAAGGCTTGCGCTATTAGACAGGTTTCACGAATTGAACATATGTGGTAGAGTAGAGGCTCTTAGGCGCATCAGATGTATTGCAGAACTTCAAGAAAAGTTCAACAGTGAAGTAGCAGAGCAGCTACGTGCTTCTTACAACAAGGATAAACATTTCTTGAACCAAATGTCACCAGATGGTCATATATTCTCGTTTAGGTCTTTTATAGATCTCAGGAATGAAGACCGTAATCAAAAATGTTATCAAATAGCAAACCAGGATACAAATTTCTACCTAAACATCGACAATATAGGCTCCATATGATCCCGATCACCTCGACTGTGATATTACTATTGATATCAATGAGCAAAAAAATTGAGGACGGGAACCTTTCCTACCCTCATGGTTTTGGGGAAACACAGTTTGCTGCAGAATAAAATGCAGAGCAGAATGTAACAAGCAACAACAGTAGCAATATTGAACAGCAACCTAGTGAAGAGGATTATAGTGTTTGTTCTTTCAATGATTCAGACTCAGCCCCATTCGCCTGCAGTGTACGGTGCTGTGCCTATGGAATGTAAGAACAATACTATCTTTTTTATTTTTAGATGGTAAATTTAAGTTCTTTTAAACCCCTCGTAAAAAGGAACTATTTTTTGGGGATAATATAATCAATTTGCCTTTTTTCACGCAACCACAGGTTTTTGAAAAGTAGGTGGCCTTAGCGAAAAAGATGAATTAAAAAATTGATGTCAAAGGTTCTGCCTACTGCTTAACCGAGTGTCTTACATATTTTGGTACCCTGTGAGGAAGATTTAGTACAAGGATTGCAGAGATGGAGGAAATATTGTTGCATGCTGAGGGAATATTGTATTTGCTGGAATTGGAGAAATTGAAAGTACTTGCAGACAAATTCAAAGTTCCAAAGAAAGATGTTGTTTGTAAGAGTCGATTAAAGCTTGTTAAATTATTGTCTGCAGTTTATGAAGAGAACTTTGAAAAATGAACCCAACAAGAATTTGAATACATTAAAGAAATATGGTGAGTTGTCACCCCCTCCCTTGGAAGAGGATAAGGAAGTAGAAGAAACATCTACAGCCCGGGGTGTGCAGAAGGTGCAGAGGGGGATAGCACAAAAATTAAGACAACACAAACTACCCAGCCTGATAATCTGACCATGCAGACTAGCAGATTTGGGAGGTGGGTCAAAGGGTAAAATTGTCTTATGTGTCCCTAATAAGGCAAGTTGAAGTTGAGTTTGACAGAGGATATTTTGAGGGGGAAGTAGTGAATGCAATAATTAATTATATCTCTCCTGGTCTGCAAATAAGAAGCTATTTACAAGGTTCAGGGCAAATTCCCTTGCAAGGTTGAGGAAAATTTTGAGATCACATTCTAAAGAGGGTAGTGCAAGAAGTCTAAATTAAGAATTGCTCACAATGTCACAGGAGCCCAAGGAAGACTCAGTTTACTTTTTGATACGTGCAATGCACTGCAGGCAGAGAATTATTTTTGCATGCGGGGAAGAGTCTGAAAATGATCACAAGTATAGTCCAGTTTAGGTCATAGGCCTTTTTCCTCAATCAGTGGAGACAGGTCTGTTGAGTGATTCTATTTGCAGGCGCATAAGGCCATACCTGCAAATTCAAATGTTGATGATGATGAGACCAAATGCAATAGACCACTTTCACAATTACGTCACGCAGTGTTTGAAAGAGAGACGAGTGCTTGAAGTCAAGACAACTGATGTAGTCAGCTGTGCAAACATTTATATATTTCTACGTTTCATAATTTTTTCTCATTGAAATAGATGCATCCAAATTGTTGCTGTCGAAGAAAAAGAAAGTTGATTGTCTAGAAGATCTTGGCGCACAGACTATTAAAAAATTGAAGCCTATTCTTGTACAATACAGGGAGAACTCTTCATGTGTCAAAGCCGACCTTATTCTTCGTGCATACCGTATTTTCTTGAATAGAAGCTGCCCCTGAATAGAAGCCGCATTTTCCTACTGAAGTTAATAGAATGGTTGACGACGTATATTTTCTTCATCATATCATTAGGATTTCCACTTCACTTTGCTCTAAAATTTTATCAGTTAAATCCTTTAAATTATGAATATCATAAATATGTTTCTTCTTGAAAGTTGTCTTCTAATGTTGGCCATGGTACAAACTTGATGCTTGGATTCGATTCACCCAAGAGTACCCTGGCTTCCTCTGTCCGCTGACCCTTTCCCAGAAAGTGAATTTTCTCCGGATCACTCGTCATTATCTCGCACATATCGAAAGATTTCTTGATGATCTCTTTGTTGATTTGTTTCCATGCTTCAACAACCCACTGAACTTGCAAGAAGTGATTTGGTGGCTTCTGAATTCCTCCCCTGGTATACTCAAACTCGCCGTCTTCATGAATCACTGTCTTCATCTTTTTATACTGTCTCCTTAATTTCGTCAGATATGTGGCACTTAAACGAGTCCCATACCAGAAACCTCTTCCCAAAAGCCAAACTTCCCCATACCTCTTCAACCCACACTTCTGTCAGTTCGTCATTCATCCATCCGTTTGGAGAGCATTTCACTATTGCCCCTTTGACAGCGGCAACTTCTGACTTCATCTTTTTTCCAGGGATTCTAAGCACACTGTGATTCGCTGTGATTTATTGGGACGATCTTCGATCCTTGTATTTCTACTGTTGTCTCGCTTGGCATATCGGCCCAAATGGGTGTTTCATCCATGTTGGCTATGTTTGACAGCAAGAAACCACACTCATGCCTTTGCTTCTCGCAGAACTTGACGAAGTTTAAATCTTCTGCAGGACATCTTTGGGAATCATTTGTCCTGTAGTAGTGCGCCTTCTCACCATAAGGTTGTTTTGTCCCATAAAATTGAACAGCCATCCACAGCTAGCTTGAAAATCGCCCAGATTATGAGCAGTTGTCAGCTGCTGTGCCCAGACAGTTAGGATTTTGCATGCAACATGATAATGTTTCTCACGCACGTCAATGATTTTCTCCAGTAGTTCTTCTTGAAGATCACCTAGTACTGGTTTTCGTCCTGCACCAGCCAATCGCTTCTCTGTGCTGTCAATTATGGACGAAGATTCATCATCAGTTTTTTTATGAATTCTATCTCCATCTCCGTATGATGCTCCCATCTACAGCAAACTTCCTTGCAGCTTGTCTGTTCGTTGTTTCTTCAGCGCACTTAATTGCACTCATTTTAAATTTCAAATCAAATAGTTCTTTTGTTTCTCTGCCATGATTTGCTTATGCATCTGTAACTTGGAAATCTGGTTTCTTGATGACATGCTTATATATAAAGGAATAACAGTGTGATAAAAATTTGCTTCTTTGTATTTTAATTCTCCCATTGCAACTATAACATTCGAAGGTGTAACAACCAAAAAAAAATAAAAGCCGCCCTTAAATACAAGCCGCCTCTGATTATAAGCCACATTTTTCCCTAATGAAAATAATAGAAGCCGCAGTTTCTATTCAAGAAATACGTCCTTCCTTGTGTTCTTGCTGCAGTTGCTGAAGGGGCCCGAGAACTCAACACTGTGTGCTGTTGCTGCATCATGACAACGCTGCAGCGCACAGAGCAAACGTTACTCAGGAATTCCTGCAAATAGAGAAAGTACAACAGCAATGCCATAAGTACTTTGAACACCTGGCAATTTACGCTTCATTCATATCTTTCATTCCTTTCTTGAAAAAAAATTTACTACTTCCGCCCCCTTCCCCCTAAAACAATGTTGATGATTTAGAGAAATATCTATTTTAGAAAGCGAAGGAAAGTGCTTCCTAAAATCCTAATTCGTTTGATAGTAAACCAACATTGTTCTGTAGGGGAGAGGGGATGATTGATTCTGAACTTTAAAATTGACGTCAGTGTTCCAAGACTTTTGGCAGGCATTGTAGATCATCCACCTTACAGTCGAGACCTGGCTCCATGGGACTTCTTTGTGTTTCCTTTTAGCAAGTCGAAGCTCTGTGGGGTGAGGTTTGACACCCCTGATCTTGCAAGTAGAGGGATTTTTGGAGCACATCCAGGCTATACCACAAACAGAGTGAGCTAACATGTTCCACAAATGGTTCCAGCGAATGGAAAAGTGCATAGATAATGCTGGAGAGTACTTTGAAAAGATGTAGATAAAACTGTTTAGTTAGTTCATTTTATTTCTTTAATTCCGGAAACTTTTTGAATGCCCCCTCGTATGCTGGAGAAGGGAAAACATTTATTCAAACAATTCTGTTAAAACAGAGTATGTCCGAATTGGCCACCTGGGAAACTCTTTCCAATATAACTCTTTCCAGTTATCTTTTCTAAAGATGTAACACTGTCCAACTCCATTACACCAACTCCATGTGGTATTTTCCTGACGAAAAAAAGGTCAGCTATCTTTTGACAGTTATGCTTACTATCTTAGCAGCTGTCCTAGAGATACTCTTTTTATTGATGTTGCAAGGGTAGATCCAGTCAACAAAAATTCGATGGCAGATGTGGCAGGGCAGAGTTAGCCCTGCAGAAAAGAGATTGAAGTCTTCAAAATGGAAAATTCAAATCCAAAGAATAGAAAAAGAAATAAAGTCTGCAGATGTAGAAATTGATGATGAGCTTTAAAGTGACATTTTTGGAATTATGGTAAGCAAAATACAGAATTCATAACCATTCATAAAACTTTTTTGGGATCAACAAACTTAACTTCTGCAAAGTGGAAGTAAGAAAATCGCATAATGATATTATGCTTTTGCCTGTCCCTGCCATCAAAATTTGCATCTGTCTACGATAAACTAATACAATTATACTGACTCTCCCAAGTGGTAGAAAACATTAAGGGACTATCGAAATGCAATTAGACCTAAGACAGGTTTTAACTCTGAAGTGATCAATGAGCTCATTGAAACTGCATCAATGCTGAAGGGTGTTCAACATTACATTGTTATTTCAATTGGTGAGGTGAAACTTCAGGAGAATTTTGGTCAAAACAAATGGCGAACTAATTGGGTTTGTTCATTTGAGTAATGCAGATCTAAATTACTCTTGCTTTGATGATGTTGACCAGTTAGCCAGTCATGCCCTGGTATTTTATGTGAGAGGTTTGGCATCAGACTTGAAATTCAGCTTTGCATATTTTGCTATAAGAGGAGTCACCCAATTATGATAACTTCTTGGGAAGCAATTGCTATACTGGAGCTGACCTTCAATTGTTGCTGCAGTTTCAGATGGAGCTTCATGCAACAGAAAGTTTAACAAAATGCATGATATGTTGGGTGGAAAGAAAGGTGCAGATGGTGTCCACTGTACCATAAATTTGTTTTTACTGGATCGACACATATGGTTTGTTTCTGATGCACTCCATTTAATGAAGACAACTCAAAACTATGTTTATCATTTGGGGAAGAAACTTCAATAAAGATGTAACTTGGTATCTTGCCGCAAAATTAAACATGCAAAATATCTTGTGGACCATTTCATATTTCGACTGAATGTACATACATACTCATTCTAATCACATTTGTTTAAATATATATAGTAGTAGATAGGCTTGATGTGAGAAATGTTTTCTGTTACTCCAAGTTTTGTGCTTGTGCACTCATGAGGCAGACTAATTTTTAATATTAATAATTTATTTTAATCAATATAATGTTGTCTTATTACTTTCTCATTATTGTTTTTTATATGAATATTTATAAAAATAATATTACTGATTAAGACTTTTAGGGCTTTTGATAGTACAGATTAATATATAAATATTTTGATTATTACCGATGAAGCAAATGCAAAATGATTCGCTATCTGTACCTTCTGAATTCTTCTCAAATTTTTAAAAAGATTTTAATATAGCCACCTGAAGGAAAAACACGATACATGTGGAATAACTGCAAGCACATTGTATGGAATCATTTTTGTAAGGTTGTTCATTATGAAATGGGATGTGGTTTGAACAGAATTTAAAAGCTGTCCCAAAAGCATGTGACCCCATGCGTTCTCGGTGGTTATTACTACTTCATAATTTGTCAATTATTAATGCAGGGTTTATCTGTTGCTTTTTCAATATCTTTCCGCAAAGCTTTTGTTTCAACCTTCCTTGAAACATATAAGTGGTTTCCTGCAACATCTCTTGCAAAAGAAAATAACCTGGCGCCAAAGTATAACTTCAGCATGTTTCCCAACAATTTTTTTTACCTCAAGGTCTATTGGTAAAATGGAATTTTCTATAAGGCAATTATACATGCTAATGAGATCAATATCAAACAACAGATTTATCCCGAGCTGTAGAGCTTTTTTCCTAACAATATTTGATGTTGAAGTATGGGCTTCGAAAGTTTTTCTACAGACAACAAGATTATCTGTTCCTCAGTTTTCAAAGCAATTACCCCCCCTTTGTCTGACTGGCAATCAACCTCTGTGATATGTTGTTTCCTCAATGAAATTGTTAAATACTGATGAAAGTGGCTGGCTCACTACATATACAGCAAGATACAAAAGTCCATCCATTTCTTTGGCACTAATTGGGGAATGAGGTTTTTGGCAAGGCAGTCGCTTCTGTTTCTTGAAATAATGCCAAACATTGTATCCAAGTTTTTTGGCCATTAGTGGCCACATTGGTGGAGGCAGATCTGGAATTAGTGTACCAGCGTTTATCACAAATTTCCCGTATAGGCCGAAGTCCATGTTGCTCTAGCATGTCGTTTTTGTTGCACATTCCTTGAAACTGAGCAAGAATGGCATTAAATGACGCATTTTTCATTCCACATCCGCAAGATACTTGGCCCCAATTGAAACAGCTGCACAATTCTTTTAAAAATATTCCCAGAAGCTGCCAAATTTTCTTCAAACAAGAGAAGCGCCATTATGATATCTTGAAGCATGTGATATGTAGGCTAATCGGCGGACTCACTTTTCCGCTTGTGATTCAGTGATTTCGATGTGGTCCGCTAATTTTACATATATGGTGATGTTGCTTAGTTGCTTTGTTGTTTAAAATCATGGCGGATGGAGAAGAAGGAGGCCGGTTGCCAAAGATTGTCAAATCGTGTTTTATGCACTTTGAAGATATCAAAGAAAGTACATATTTGATAACGAAACAACGTCTAGAGAAATTTTTTTAGCTGTAGAGGGAAGTGGGTCAGTTTGGATGGTGAACATGCTGAGATTTGTCGCAGTTCATACAACCTATTTTCAGACGAAACAGGACTCGAACAGATCAACTCAGATAACTTTGATTTGGAGTGGTATTGTCACAAGACTTGCTACAAGCGTTTGTGTGACGAAGAGAAAATAAGGAGAGCCGAAGCCAATAAAAACTTGATAAACACAAGTAGTAGCAGCAAGGAAACTGATGATAATAATTCTTTGACAACCAACCACGACAATGACAACCAACATGATACAACCATACCGCAAGTTAATACGGCTGGAGGGGTAGAAAAGCACCATGACAATGGCAATAAAACCAAAGCAAAGAAATTCATTTGTCCTCCCACAGCGTTGTATAATTTGCTTGAAAGGTTCTGACTGGTTTCAGCAAGATAAGGTCAGTGATCATGATTCGTACCCTGCAATAAACTTCAATCAAAAATACCGAAAAATAATTTTACGACTTGTGTTGAGCCACATGTTGCGAACCTAAAAAATGCCTTTACGCAGAACAAGAACATTGTGATTATAGGCTGTTTTTGGTTTCCCCTTTATCTGAAGACAAGGAGGTCTTCAAATATCAAGATGAAAAAGAAAGTATTTATTCTCTATAAATAAATTTATTTGGAAAGCAAAACTGCAATATTTCTTGCTTGCTGTATCTCACCTTTATGGACATACATGCATTTAATACAATAATCACCTTGAGATTGATAAAAAAATGATGCTTAAAATCAATGTTTGAACTAAATGTCTTTTTTAGTTCTGATATTTTGCTACCAATTTTTTAGTGGAGTGGTAAACGAAAGCGAGTACCCCTAACATTATGCCAGACAGAAGATGCTGGGCAACTATGTCATGCAGCTGAATTAAAAAACAACGAGAAGATTCTCCTTCAAATAAGAGATCAAGATTGTGTGGCAATTCAGGTGCGATATCACAAAAATTGCTATGCAAACTACACAAATTTTCTAGCTGGCCCGGAAAAATTGCAAAATATTACACAATTGTTGTATGAAAAAAGTTACAAAAAGTTCTCTTCTAAGATTATTGAGAAAAGATTATTGCAGAGAATAAAATGATGCACATGACTACTATTTTTGAGAGATTCTTAAATATAGTAAAAGAAGAAGAAGTTATTGATGCTTCTAGTTTCAGATCATTTCGTTTGAAAGACTTCAGAAAATGTATCCTCAGCTCGTATTCTTCACTCCAAGAATGAGCAACAAAAGCGAGAAGGTTTATGTGGAGAATTTATCTTACGAAGATATACTGGATGAACACATGAAATTAAAGGAAACAATTTTAGAAGAAAGCATAGCAATGGATGATGAATATGTTTTGCCAGGAAGCAGCCAGATGCATGTAAATGAACTTCAGGTATTGTCACCGGCGGCGGGCACTGCTCATAGTATGAATAGTCTATGAGCAAGTTTTTTTCCACAGAAAATAAAGTTCAAATTTCCAATAGAAGATAATTCAATGAGCATGACGACCATTTTTCCAGGTGTTGTCTGTCCTTTGAGCCATGCTTTTACATATGGAGTATTTAATCAATTTAAATAGATTTGTTTGTGCCCGTTGCGTTCTATCGCAATAGCGCTTTTGTTGTCTTGATCTTATCTTTCTCGTGGCAGCCATAAAATCAAAACACAGCCACGCTCATAGTTTTGAAATACTATGAGCGTGGAGGGTTTGACCTTTTGTTTTACAACAGCTGTACGTCACAGATTTCCAGGAGAAAGAATGCCTTGTGGCCGTTGCCTGTTGGCCGCATTAATAGTTTTGCTTTTCTATTCACGCGCTATATAAGTGACCTTCCAGGCCCCGAAAGTCATTTCATTCGTTCTTTCGTTACCACAACTTTCTTAAAATGAATCAAGCAAACATTGACGGAATACGTTGGAACGTTGGAAAGGTATTTTCCCTACTTTCGACTCAGCGAAGTTTAACATATGAGCAACGTTTACGGCTTAAAAAAGATGAAAGACCATGCCCTAAAATTGTTCTAAAGAATCGGTCATCAGACTCAGTGTACAAGACATATTCTTGGATTTGTGGCGATGAAGCTGCAAATACATATTTCTGCTGGCCATGTTTGATTATGGGTGATTTGTCAAAGGTGAGTGTTCAACGTTCAAAAAATAATATTTTCCCTTATTTATACTAAAGAATGATTTTGGGCGTAGAAATTCCTTGATTCTTCTAAACCCTTAGAGCTCAAACTATTTGGAGAAATATTTCTTCCTTTGGTTGGTCCCTGGTCTGGTCCTGTTATAGACAGTCCTTGACTCTAAGCAGGGCGACCCGTCAGCATGAATGGAATCACATTTCTATTCATGCAGGGTTTTTACGTAGGAGTAGACAGCCGCTGGTCGATTTTATTGTGTAACGGCTGACTGCTCTAAATGATAGCCCCATGAATAGAAATGCGATTCTATTAATGCGAGAGACTGCCATGTCTTGAATGATGCCAAAATGAAAAGCGTTCATGTTTTATGTCATGTGTGTCTAGGGGTAAATGTGCCATGTTTAGAAAGTAATTCTTATGAATTATTTTCATTGCTAGATATTTATTAAGGCAGTTCTTCTAAACTAACGTTGTTAAAAGAGGATAGGGAGGTTGTTAAGAATAAATTATTGTTTGACGCTATGATTTTGGCATTCAGTGCAATCTAGAATAAAGCCCCCCCATTGAGAGAAATATAGGTGTAAAGTTTTTCCGTTCTCGCTACTGTTTCGTGAACATTGGGACACGTATTTTGTAGGAAAAAAAATCGGGACAAACACAATCTGAATACTGAAGTTTCGATTTTGATTTAAAACTACATTTTTTCAACTGACTTAAAGTGGTTGTCACATTTGTCTCTGTTGATGTGTCATTTTTCATGTTGCTTCCAATCAAATATACTTTCTTCATTTCATAAATACACTCTCTTAACCATTTTTCATTTTTTATTGTTAGATGCAAAAGGTGTGTTTTGTTCAAGAGGCTGGATATCGATCAACTGGAGGAAGCCTTGCTAACATAGCAGATAGGCACCAATCATCTAAGCTTCACATTATGAACCACACCGCTCTCAATTTGCTTGGTAATACTGACGTGGCATGTGCACTAGATGAAGCAAGAGCCAGATCAATTGCCCAGCATAACCACAAGGCCACAAAATACACACGCATACTTCAGCACCATATTAACATTGCATTATTTTTGTCAGCACAACGTTTGGCATTTCGAGCGCACAATGAATCCAAATCTTCGTCAAATAGGGGTAACTTTGTCAAATTATTGGACCTTTTAGGATCCTACTGTAATGAACTACGAGAATTTCTCGACAACGAACGAATTACCTACACGTCGCATGACCCGCAGAATGATCTGATCAAGTGTATGTATCAGGAAGTCAGAACTGAAATTGAAAAGCGGATCAAAAATTCTACGTTTCTGTCCGTTATGATGGATGACACTAGTGACATCAGTAACGTTGAGCAGTCGGCGATCTGGGTGCGGCTAATCAATAATGGAGAGATCGAAGAACATTTGCTGGCAATGGTTGATTCGTCAAGAGATCAATCGGCCGATGAGTGGTGCATTAAGCGGTGTGCAGAGACAAGTTCAAGATAATTTTCCGTTCGCTTTTTACAACCATTGTGTTGCACACAGGATGTCGCTTTGTGCCTCTCAAACAGCAAGGAAAATTCAAAATGTCGCCAGCTTTTTTGATACTGTTGACAGTGTCGTTAAATTCTTCAGAAGTAGCCCGAAACGCAAACATTTACTTGGCCGTAGTTTGCCCAAACCTGGCGATACCCGCTGGCTCTCTCGAGACACCGCAATAGAAGCTATCGATTCTTCGTATGAGGTTATTGGAACAGTGTTATTTGAAATGGCTCTAGATGGAGATGAGAAATCGGAAATACGAACAACTGCAAGGGGACTATGCACAAAAATTCAGCATATTAAGTTTGTTTTTCTGCTTAAACTTTACAGAAAGATATTTAGTTTTTGCGCACCGATTATTAAAATGATGCAAAAGCCAACACTTGATGCGGTGCAGCTGTCTTCAATGTTAGAGGATTTTCAAGATGTGTTGGAAGCCCTCGACTTCAATGATGTCTGGGAAGACACAATGAATCTTGATCCGGAAATCCCTGCTGTTAGAAAAAGGGCAGGTTGGCGTGGAATACAGGGGAGTATAGATGGTTCTACGGAAAGTTGGAAGCGATCCTTGGTAGAAATCGCAGCGCAAGTTACTTCTAGATTCACAGATCAAATTAGCTGGAGGTTTGAGAACTTGAACAAATTTAAATGGATGAATCTTATTCACCCATCCAAATTTGAAGCAAGAAAGAACGCTTCATCTCAAGAGCAAAAGCAGTTAATAGCCGAATTAAGGGACATTTATCCAACTGCGGTACCGGATCCACTTGCACTTGAACACTGTCTCAATGTCCTATATAACAGTAGGGAAATATCCGTTTTGCTTGACCGAGTAACAAGAGAGCGGGACGCTTTCATCGCGAAAAAGAAAGAAAGACGCAGAAGACTTGTCAGAGCTAACGAAGAGCCCCCCGAAAGCAGACTGTCGGAGAGAGAAGCGGTTGAAGAGGATGATTTGTTTGAGGTGACAAATGAAGTTGAAGTAGAAGTTGATATTGTTACTGAAGGCAAACCCTCAATCCAAGATTTGTTGACCATTCTAAAGAAGACAGAATTACAGGATGCACTTCCTCAGGCAATGACAGTTTTGGAGCTTGCTGCAGTAACACCATTAACGAGTGTTCATTGCGAGAGAGTCTTTAGCCGCATGAAAAGAGTTGTGTTGTCTTCAAGGTCCACTATGCTCCAGAAAAGAAAAGAAATGCTAGTTTTCCTTCAAGTAGAACACAAAACACTTCGCTGGCTCGCCGAACAACCACAATTCAAAACAAATGTAGTTGAGAGATTTAAGGCATTTAATCAAAGACGCTCTGATAGATTTTCAAAAAAGTAGCTTAAGCTTTAGTTAATTTTATGTAAGACGTGTTTTAGGTAGAGCATGATAAATGATGATAATTTGATTTCTTTTATTCAAAGGCAAAAATAGTTTTGGAGTAAAATTAAAAATTATTGTCCATGTTCAAGAACGATTTTTATGAGTGTTCTGAGTCTGTGTCTACAATTCATCTTCATTGCATTTTCACTTTTAGCTTTTAGACCATTTTGGAATCGTTTAGAGGCATTAAAAAGGGGGTCCTCAGACAGATTTTGTGAGGTCAATATCAAGCCTCTTTGAATCTATGAGCAACTTTTTTTCCTGCCAGCCGCCCCTGGGTATTGTATAATGGCGCCATGATTATTAGAAATAAGCTTTCGGATCATCCAGGATTGAAACTCCCATGGCCACCACTTGCATCTGATATTAGTCATGAAAATGCAAGAAATGTTGTTTCAATTGAGCTGCTAAATTTTCTGGTTTGGATATGTGACTTATCAGAAGATGCACAGCTGGATCAGCATATATTGGAGGAAAGTGAGCAATTTGTTAAAGTAATGTCAATTGCCCAGGATATTGTTTTCCTTGCTTCAAATGGAAGAAAACATACACCAAAGAGTATTTCTTTGGATATTGCTCTAAGGCAGCTCACAGGATCATCATCTGCACTGAGGTTGCTGAATAATTTAGGTCACTGTGTATCACATACATTTGCTTTGAGACATGAGACTGCTTTAGCCCAACTTAACATTTCACCAGATTGCATAATACCATCAGGATTTTCTGCAAACACCAGTACTACTTTAGCATGGGACAATGATGACTTTAGAGAAGACACAAGGACTGGCAGTGGTACAACTCATGTGACAGGTGGTATTATATTGCAAAGAGAATCAGTACATACAGAGAGAACAGTGCCAGAGAGAAAAAGTCTACCACGCAGAGTAAGTTCATGGGATGAACCATCCAGCAAGATAGATCCTTATGTTTTAGGGAGACACATCACTGTTGACCTACGTCATCATCTATCCAGTTTTTATATTGATGAAGAATTTCATAAAGATCATCAGAAAGGGAAACGATTGCTGGACCTTTCATTTGTTTTATGCAGATCATTTGATGATGCAAACATACCAAATTGGACAGGATTCAATACCAAGTTACAGGAAAACTCACTGCCAAAGTCCACAATGATTGGCTATCTTCCAATTATAGACGCCTCACCTACTTAAATATCAACAGTTAATGCCATCCTAACAAGAAGCACCAAGATTGCAGATAAATTAGGACTTTCCTATTTATGCCTTGTGTTTGATGAAGCAATCTATGCTAAAATAGAACAAATTAGATGGAAAGATGCAGCTTATTACTCAAGGTTCATCATAAGAATGGGAGATTTTCATATGGCCATGTCATACTGTGGAGCCATTTCAAAAATTGCAAGGTCGCAGGGCTGAAGGTAAGAAAAAACATTTTGTAAGAATTTTGTATTTCTAACAATAGAGAAATTTAAATAAAGACATTAGAAACCCAAGTCTTGCTTCAGCGGAATGTTAGATTTATGACATTATAAGTAGGAAGGTATAGTACCTTGGTAATAAGTGTAGTAAGTAATATGCAATATGAAGTAAGTATTACGTAGAAAGTTTTTAAATGCAGTGTCAAGTTTAACCTTCAAGCTCCTTAAAGCATTTAGGGGTAACATTTTGATGGTGTTATTTGTTCATTATGCATTCATACATTTGCTCTAAACATGGTTCTTCTTTCCTCACAGGACATTCTTCTGGAATCTGATCTTGTAGCACTGGGTTCTTTGTCAGGTGTATTGACCGGGAAACATTACAATCCCAGCATAAGATGTCATAAAGTCATGTATGAAGCCCTAATACATTTACTGTTCCAGGCATATCTTGAAACATTACCACTTCAAATTCAAGAGGAGACCCAAGATTTCATTGGTAAGTACAATTTTTTGCAAAAGTATATATTAACACAACGCTTTATCATGAAAATATGTATCTGAAGAGGGGTAGACTGATAGTCATGTGGTGGTGTAACTGAAAGCTCCCCTTTCCCCTATAATCAAGATATTCTTGTCTCTTTAGAAAGGTTATTTTCTGTCACATTGCAGTAAGCATGGTGGAGTGTTATCCTGACAACCAATTTTCCAACTGTGTGCATTCACCTCAGCTAGAGTCTTTGTCAAAAAGAATAGAAGAATTTTCAAAGCAGGAATCATCGAAGCATGGAACATTCTCTTTGTGGCAAACATACATTGAAATGGTGGAGATTCTGTTGCTGTTTATTCGAGCTACCAGAGAAAACAATTGGGAACTTCACCTCTCGGCGGTCAGGTCAATGCTTCCATGGTTTTTCGTTACCGATAGAGTAAATTATGCCAGATGGATCAGCTTACTGGCTGGAAATGTCTTGCATTGAACAAACACATCCAGGTAAGTTTCAGAGTCATTCATTAATTTAAGAAAGTAGGCAACATAAAGCAATTTAGGGAAGACAAAGGGTATACTTTCCCTGTGTTTTTGTTCAACAAGTTCTCTGTAGCACAGAGTCTTATCAAAATCAACAGTATCTACTAGAATTAAAGTATCAAATATATCTACTGACACAATCTTTTGGAGAAGATGGTGGAATCATAAGTAGGCATCAGTTTGATCTTTGGCACTTTAATGCTTTAAATTTTCCTTGAAGTTGTCTATTGAAATATGAAATTCCTTTTGAAATTCCGAAATCAAGTGGCATTTACCGTTGAGAGACAGCAAAATAAAGGTCAAAAGCCTACCAGATTTCCTGATGTTTTGTTGAAGTTATCAGTTCATACAAGGAGAAAGCCTGTGTATGATCAGTATCTGAATGGTCACCAACTTTGTATTCTTGAAGTACTCTTAAAGTAAAAGTTAACTTGCTGGAATTACTTGTTTTTGTACTTGATGCATTTTTAAATTTACATTTTGAATAAACTTTATTTAAATTGTAATCTGTTTTTTGGTTGTTTTGAGAAGAACAAGTGGTTAGTTTACCTTGCTGAAATAGTTGAAATTTTTCCTGGTCTCTCCTGAAATGGATGGGCTTTGAGGTCTCAGCCAAAACTTTCCTGTGTATGTGTTGATATAAACTTATTTTGAATAGGCCTAAAATGACATGGACTAAAGATCATGATGTGCTGCTTTGCCGTGAAATTCTGGCAGAGGAGCCTTATCAATATAAGCATAGGTCAAGGGAAAGGGGGAAATGGTGGGACAAAATTGCAGATGCATTAAATGGAGTAGAAAGGCCAAAGTTCAGTGTTGATCAGAGAGCTGTTAGGGACAGATTCGTAAAATTAGAAAGGGGGTTTGGAAGGAAAATGAACGAAGAAATGAGGGCTAGTGAGGTAGCACCAGAACCCAGTGAGCTAGATGAAGCAATGGAGGATATTTTGGAAAGAAAAGTTAGTGCAGAGCAGCAGCAAGCAAAGTGTGATGATGGTAAGAGACAGGCAACAAGGGGCAGAGAAGGAAATGGCACAGGCTGTGAGGAAAAGGGCTATGGAGAGTCTCTCAGAAACTAAGGCAAGAGAATGTTCTAAGAGGAAAAAGGGTGGTGACACAAGTGAGTATGTTGGGTACCTGAGAGAGAAACACGAATCAAACATGAAACTTAGAGAGAGTGAAGTTAATTTGGAAAGAAAGAAAGTTGAAATAAAGGAAAGAAATTTGGACCAAGAAACTGAGTTGAGAAAGAGAGAACTTGAGTTGAGGATGAGGGAGATAGAGGTGAGAGAGAAAAGTCAAGAATTGAAGGCAAGGGAGCATGAACAATTTGAAGAGAAGTTTAAAGTATACGAGGAACAGCAAAAGATGATGAATGCTCAAATAGCGTGCATAAAAAATAAATTGACAATTATTGAGGAACAAAATTTAACTATTTTAAAAATATTAGAAAGATTTGAAATGTAATATTGTTTGCTGATATTTGCTTAATTGTATTAAAAAAAGTCAAAAGGTAAAATTATGTTGAATTTTTTTATTCCAAATTCTTTTCCAACTCATTTCATAAAGAAATATTGGATAATTGATCTCAAATTTTAACTCTGTACAAATACAAATGTTTGGGTATCTTCTCATGCTCCACCCAAAAGCACATAGTTGTAAATAAGCACCCCCCCACCCCTTCTAAAACACAGATTTGTATAAATATGGTACAGTAACATCACTTATGAAAGTTTTGATTATCTCTTTTCAGTGCTATTTATTTAATTGGTTGTTTCAAATAAGTTAATCTTCTTTGCCTTAAAAATATTTTTTTCTTGCCTGTGATTAACAATTTATTTTCCTGTTTGCCTTTTCACTTACACTATGCTACATGTCTTTTCAAAAGATTCTTTAAGTTTGAGAAACAGGCAAAAAAAACCAGGACCTTGATTTGAAAGTGAATATTTCTAAAATTTTGGTCATGTGGTCACGAGATTGATGTTTAAAGTTTTAAATGAAACCTATGAACGATCAAGTCAAGTATTAATGGTTAAAAATATTCAAAATGACAAAATTTTGGTATCTGTTAAAGCTTTTGATTATTTTTACATACTTTGGTACCCAAAAGGTTTGATCATTACTTTTTAAATATTCTACAGCAGGAATGCATCCTATGGTAGTTACAAAGAATTTTCCTTTCCATAATTTCTTTAAAGAGAAAAACAAAACAGATAATCGTGTGCTGTTTGAAAGAAAAGGAGCTTTTTAAAAAAAGCTGTTTTTTAGATCTTTGATTGATACAACCTACTGGAAATACTCTTCGATAGTTGGAGGATAGACATCAAAAAGTTTTGAGGTGTTGTTGCCATATAAACATGTCAATCCGTTGCGTAGCAATGCACACACCATGTAGATCTTGCCAACTGTGCTCAAACCAATTTTAAGATCTTTTTTAAAATCTGTGAATTTAAAATAATATACAATATCTCCAAATACCCACTCAACAGAAATTCTAACTTGACTCATTGATTGGTTAAATGCCTCTTCCTCTGGAGTAAGGTCAGCCCTTCTGGCAAATGGGCATTGGAGATGCACTCTGTGGGGATAAGCTGGGTCACCATAAAGACACAATGCTTGGCCAGTTGGGGAAAATGAATGATGTTCCAGATCATGCAAGAGGCCTGACATATTTAACATGCCACTGTCATGTCTTCTTCCCTCAACTGGAGCAAAAAGATTTGCAATGAGATCATTGGGAGTCACAACTGACTGGAACTTAAGGGCATGAACCCGTTTGTGTCCATTGTAAACTTCCCTCTGGTTGTCCTTGGGCCTACAAATCGGTCTTACTGTGCCATCAATGAATCCCCAGCAGTTATCCAATGCAGCACCTCTGTTGTGAATTGCCTGTGCATACACCTTCAGGTGTTGTGGGGAAAGCCATGGCTGGTTCAGGTTTTGAAGCCGGTCAGAAAATGAATCATATAAAAATTAACCACAAGGTTAGTTATCATGCAGAGTTGAGGCACGGATCTTCCAAACCTTGGTATCAGGTCTGCATATCTGCATGGGTACGCAAAACGTTTCAGGCAAACACAGTGCTTCAACTGGCCCCACTACCGCTCCATTTGAGCACTTAAAAACATCTGGAAGGTGTAATGCAGCAGCGAGCCTAGCTATGTTGTGTTTCTTAAACCGAAACTCGACCTCACATTCGTCCTCTCGCATCCCATCCAGATTAAAACGTTCATATTTCCGTTTCCGTGTCTATTTGCCTCATGAAAAACAAGGAATTCGTCATCATCGATCTCGCCGTCATCGTGCATGAGAACTAACATTCCCTCCTCCATTTTCGATATAAAATCAATTTTGGCACCTATTCTGAGTCATCTTCCGCATTCGTAACTTAAATTGAACACGCGAATAAGGGCGCCTCAACTCAGTTAGTACCCGGACCTCCATGAGCCGTCCTATCCTATTTCTACTGTTCTAGCCACCTTAAAATCCTCTATGGATGTACAGACTTCTAGTGGCAAGCAGATGTTCATGAAATATGTAACTTGGCTACAAATTGCCAAAATGGCAAACTACCAACATTTTGTCTAGACGGCCAATCCTTGTACTTTGTGGAGACTTAAGTCAACAACAGCCTCTTGCTACAAGAAACAATAAGACAAAATAAGAAGAAAACATTCTTTCTTGTGTCTACTGCATGTGTAACATTGCAAAGTTTGCACTTTCACAGCAAGACAGAATACAGGATGATATTCTTCTAGAACTTTTGCATCATATTTGATATGACATGCCAACAGATTCGGTGCTACACGCAATATCAAATGGCTAGATTCTCTGTAATTGAGATACAGTATTAGAAAGCGTTTTTGAAACTCTCAAACATCATCCAGATTTCGTTACACTTACTGTTACTCGACGATCTGCATCTTTTTTTAACAATTTGCTGGTTAAAAACTTATTTCATAGACATCCCTTGGCCCTTGTTGTTGCTGATGATGAAAATTTGATTTACATTCATTAGGGAATGTGATTGATTTTAACCAGACATGTGAATAAATCTATTGGTTTTGTTAATGATAAATTAGTCACTGTCAAATGTATTTCCTCTAAAACAATAATTGCCACACATCCCAACAGTCATGTCATTGATATATTTCCCATGACAGCTATAATAAATGAACAGACAATTACAAAATACCCCTTCCTCCCAGGATATGCTACAACAGTTTTCAAAGGTGCAAGGCCAGACGGTAAAGAAAGTATAGTTTGGCTTGACACAGAAACCACTCCTGAGGGTACTGCATATGTCCCTTTGCCTCGAGTAAAGTAACTAACAGATCTACACTTTTAGACTCCTTTGATAAGACTCAATTTAGACCAGTTTCCTAAAGTCACATTAGCTAAACATATACGCTTTAAATTCTCCATTAGGCTTTAAATCATGCAGATTTCTCAACAGCATTTAATTCCTTACAATTATACTCATTGATATAAAGTATGATTTTCAAATTCATTAAAAAATTTTATTAAAACTTGCATGTGTATTTTCCTGTTGTCACCCGACAACTTACAGTGTCTCTATTTTTTACAGATGGCCTACACACAATCAAATAAAATCAAGGAAGTAGGTTACTGCAACCATTTCCCAAAAAACTTTCTAAAGCAATATGGTTGGGTCAAAGTATATCCGCCAGAGCAGGTAGCTCTTTCACGCCTAAGACCAGAAGGCTGTGAATGGCTTAGAAGGCCCCAAGTGCCAACGTCAGAGCTGTGCTCTACAATAACCAAAAATCTGAAAGTGTTACAGAAGTCCAGCCTCCTTCTTGATGACAGGAAAATAACGGACTTGACAGGAAACCTACAGCCTCTGGCGCAGCTCTTGGCTCCTTTTCACAAGGAAAGTCAAACTATGCCAAATGATGTACAAAGGCTTAATCTTCTGCTGGCCATTTTAAATCCCAGCGACACTAGCAGCACAACTCAATAAATGTGTTGAGCTTGGTGCTGCTCTCTTTTCGATTGGGGCTAACTTCGAGGTGGCACAGACAATAATTTCAAACCCAAATAATTATGCAGATTTGACTGTCATCATGGTGCGATGATGACAGTCAACTTTGATCGATTATTGTCTTATCGGGGGGAAGACCCTTCTGTGTTCTGGTGTTAAGGGTCCTTTTTTATTTTAGTACTTTAGGGTCCTAGGTCTAAGGATCTCAGGGTCTGGTTTTTACGGTATGCCCTCCAAAACAACCGCCACCATTTCATCACCCAATGTATTATCTTTAACTTTACAGCTTCAAACACAGAAAGCCATTTATCCCAATGAAACATCATTACCAACATCATCCCAACCTCTTTCTACAAGAACGTAAACAGAATCCTTAACAAACCAACTTTCATCCCAATCACTTTCTGCAACTACTTCAACAGCAACCTTGACAAACCAAATTTCACCCCAACCAATTTCTACATCCACTTCCATAGAGACCTTAACAATTTCTACAACCACTTCCATAGAGACCATAGAGACCAATTTAATCCACAACAAATTCAGCAACAACAATTTCTCCAGATTTTTCAAGCCATTGCCCATCTTCTTCCACACGCCACCCCCCCCCTCTCCTTCACCACCACAAACACTAAACCCAAACTGTCCTAGAGTGTCTGCTGCCAACCGCCAATATTCGGATGATAAAACAGAAGACAAAGAAGAAGTGAGGACCAACCTCTTCAAAAAAAGAAAACGCTGTGTCCTCACTGCCCATGAAGATGTTGCTCAGAAGAAGACAGATGGGAAAGGAACTAAGAAAGAGGAAAAATGTCTTTTAAAATTTATTATTTTATAGACTTGCCAATTGTTTTTTCTGTTCAACCTGAAGTTTTATTGAGTCCTTTCCTGCTTTGTGTTAAATATATAATTCGCATTGGGAGGGTGGGCAGAACGGGATGAATATTGTGCAGCTGTTTTCATCTATAGTAACCTTTTTGGAAGGATCCTCTCAGAATTTGGCATCGGCATCTCCAAAACTTTTAATTATCCACACTCAAAATACGGAAGGCCAAAATGGCAAATTCTTTAGATGGTCCGCTGAATAAAGAAGTAGCTCTTTACCGTCAATGTCGCACTCGTTGTACAGTACAAGCAACATGCTGTTCATTTTAGGTGGTTTTACTTTGGCGCCAATCCATGTCACTGCTGTAAAATCAGGTTCTGAATTTTTTACATTTGCAGGAAGACACGACAGCGGGGCTATTTTTCAGGCTTCACAAACATCCCTGCTGTAGCTTTGTCTGCAAACAGAAACTCTCTTATAAGAGCTGATCTATTTCAATTGTAACATTGTGATGCTGTCCCATCTAGAAAAGCCATGTCACCTTGTGTCAAGAATTGTAATAGTTGCTCTTTGAGCTGCAATACCTTATGATAATGAATGTCTACTGACAGAATAGAAGAATGTCTTGCTTAAATTACTAATCTCCATGAATTCTATCAAATTGAATCTGCTATTAATGCTTTTAAGCCAGGCAAGCAGATGTAAATGTAAGGTACCACAACTTTGAAAATCAAATCTATATTTCATCAAAATTTAAGCATTACCTGCTTACTATCTTTGAAGGTATGAGACTTTCATTTGGAGCCATTTTTCTACACAGAGAGCCTCGTATCACTTCCTCTAAAGCATGTGCCAAATCAAGGGTATGTCTTCACACACATTGCATTGAACAATGCAAGAGTGCAACAGCCTGAATAGCTGTTTACAAATACAGTTTACCTCTTTACCTCGAGCCTTTAGTGTAGAAATTACCTGCTTTGCTGAATCAGACAGATTCAGAAAATTCCTTCACAGCTCATTTATGCTCTTTTCGGTAGTTGGCAGTGTTTTAGATACACATGAATTTTTTTCTTTGTAGGCATTGAATCGCATTTTTCCATCTTTAGGTCTAAGTCCTTTGTTACTTAGGGCTCACCTTTCTGTTTAATGGTTTAGGCGCTGCTTTGAAAACAATTGGAGTAGTTGGTGGTTAAGAATACTGCCCAGAACTATGACTGGTATCTTTTCTAGTTGATGGTTTATGCCATTCTTCCCTTTCCTCTATTTCAGCTTCGCTGCTAGTTTCAAACAAAATGTTTCCATCATTTGGGTAACCTCTCTAGATGCTTTAAGCCTCTCTAGTTGACCTCTCTAGACGCTTTAACCCTTTTTAGCATTTTACGAGCTCTTCACGCTGCCCAAGACCACAAAACTTTGAAAGTGTCTATAAATAGATTCATTGGAAACTGTCTATAAATGATTCTGGTCCACAATGGGAGATATGGTATGATAACTAACTGGAGGTAATTCATATACCTTGGAAAAAAATAGTTGTTTCTTGTTTTAAAGTCATCTGACGGTAAATCAGTAGCTTGTGAGTGTCACTCTGTGTTTCTGGAATTCATAAAAGGACTTCAATGCAACTAAAGCTACACCACAGTCAGTTTCTTTATCAATATCTGTGTGTTTTTCCGTCGCACATTATTCGGCATTCATTCTGAACTCATTCATTATTATTGATAAATTGTCAAGAGCATCTACTTCATTTGGGGTAGTAAATTCTGACATGAATGCAATATAAGATAATCTCATTATGTTGGTAGCATCTTCCATTGTTTCAGTGTTTGTCAAGAAACCAATAACTCTAACCACTAAATGATTCACTAATGGCAAAACGTCTCAAGTCCTTTTTTTTCTGCATATCTCTCCACAAACTTCGCATTTGATTTCAAAATCTGTGCTTCGCATATTAAAACAAGTGTTAGGCTTCCATTGGCGCATTTTCCTTGCAACATATCAAAGCATTGGTTTACGTAACTCTCAACATAACCTTGTGCGGTTGGAGAGCTACCCTCCCCCACCTTCAACATTCTTTACACAGGTATTCTTTTCACCTTTTGGGCTTCCTTATTCGCTGTAGAATAAACATTACCCTGTTCACTATGGTGTTTACCCATACAAATACTGCATGACATATTTCTTCTACATTTGAAAGAAAAATGTCCCTTTGCTAAACAAACAAAGCAAAGACTGTATTTTTTGCAATATTTTCAGGTTCTCTAAAGTCCCTTACATTATGACAATTGATTTCTTCATGAGATTGTGAACAAAAAACGCATTGATAGCCTTTGAATATTTGCTTTTTCCACTAGCATTTGTTGTCTGCATCCCAGACGAACCAGCAAAGTTTGACTTAAAAATTGATACGTGTGACTCTCGTACTTTCAGCTTGCTTCTCAGCACTTCCAAAAAACACGAAAGTGATAAATCTTTAGAGCCTTTCACAGCTCACAACATACTGA